CCATTCCACATCCTTTTTAAGGAGATTGGATAACGGCCGAGCCATATCAGCGTAATTCTCGCTATACTTGTGTAAGTAATTGGCAAGGCCAAGCCATTTACGCAAGTCCTTTTGAGACTGTGGAACAGGCCAATCTACTATGGCTTTGACTTTGGCGGGATCCGCTCGTAGGCCCCGCTTCCCAATGAAGCACCCTAATAAGGGAATCTCTTCGGCCCCGAAGATGCACTTAGATGCATTAGCATAGAATTTATTAGTGCGCATGCACTCGAGCACTGCTCGTAAATGAACAATATGGTTCTCAATATCTGACCGCCCATGTTCAGCTCGGCTATGGACAAAAATGTCATCAAAGTACGTCTGTTCATAACTTCGATGGGGTCGAAACAATTGCGTCACCAACCGGTTAAACGTAGCCGGAGCATTAGATAGCCCCTGGGGCATCACTAACCACTCCCAGAGCATACCGCTCGGAGTACTAACAACAGTAAGCGGAATATCGCTAGCTCGCATGAGCAATTGGTAATAACCATCGACTAAGTCGAGAGCACTGTACATGGTACAACCGACCATATTGTTCTGAAGAACATCCTTTCTAGGTATCGGTGTCTGTGCAGGTATAGTGGCCGCATTGAGCTTATTATAAGCATGAACAATACGCCACTTACCCTTCGGCTTCTTAACACAGAAAGTGGGTGTCGAGTGCAGGGATTTACTCTCACGCACCATGCCCGCCGCGTGCTTTGCACGAAAGAACTCGTCAATGAAGTCACACTGTTCTTTGGGTAAAGGCCACTGCCGTGTTACACAGTATTTGGTTCCGGGAACCAAGTCAATTTCATGACGTACGCCCCTATCAGGTGGTAGAACCGACGGTGGATCATGACACACCACGTCCTGGAATTTCTTTACCAAAGGATAGTAGGGATCTGAAGGGTTTTTCAGAATAGATGCCCCACTACGTGCACTTAGTGCTGCTTTGGTATCTTCAAGGACTGTCTCATCGACAAGCGAGGATGAGTTTAACTCGAGGTTAGGTCGAATGACTACCATATCGGATAGAGCACCTGCCTTCAAGGCCTAATGAAATTCATCCACAGACATTTCGTCTAGCTCTAAAAGAGCATTTAATGATGGGAGGTCCTCAAGGTCAACCTCACCATCTACATCACCTGTCACTCCGTTGACCAGGGTGTACAACTGGTCATTGACATTACTATGCGATAAAACAGACGCTTTGCGTCTCGCAGCCGCCATCTGGCAACGCTGCCGTCTCATTGACGAGACCGTACTCTTCAAAGTACTTGGGATATTATCATCCCCAAGGTCAACAGACCCCTTGTCGTTTACTTGCCCTATGCGAGGGCCGATGTCATTACCGACACCCAGTGGGTCACTAGTACCAGTGACTTCACTAACAAGGTCATCGACCTTCACTTGCTCTATACGAGAGCCGATGTCATTATCGACATCCAGTGAATCGCATTTACAGCCAATATCACTAACAAGGTCATCGACCTTCACTTGCTCTATACGAGAGCCGATGTCATTACTGACATCCAGTAAATCGCATTTACAGCCAATATTACTAACAAGGTCATCGACCTTAACTTGCTCTATACGAGAGCCGATGTCATTACCGACATCCAGTGTCTCAATATTACTTTGAGTATCACCGGTACGTGCCGTTCCACTAAGTGTCATTGAGCTCTGCTCGACACTATTATTGTTAACATCGGAGTTTATCAACTCAGACACTCCAATGTCCAGCACACTAACTGAATCAGTTAATGGCTCGCGCCAATAGCACTTTTGTTTTCTAGCGAAGGTGGGTTCATGACTCTCCAAAGCTTCGCTAGGAACATTGCGCGTTGCGCCTAAAGTTTTGGATCTTCAATAGATCCACGGCTTATGGCGTTCCAGCCAGGCCATACCGAGAATGAGATCATATCTCGAGTCCAAATCTAGGACAAGACAGCGTTCAACGCTATTGAAGTCTAAGAACTTCACACCTAAGTTCAACGGAACTTTAGGAACGGTGACACGTACACCGGTCGCGAGACACCGTCTTACGGTTATACTGTCACCCTCTTGCGCTTCTAGCGCCTCAGCATACAGCTGACTCCCTTCAAGGGAGCGACGTCGTACATAATTCCCTGACGCCCCTGAGTCAATTAAAATTGACCATGGTTTCTCAAACCTTAACGGTTGCCGACACAACCAACAAGCCTGGCTTGTAATTTTGTTCTATGGGAGCATCCACAGAACCACCTGGGGATAAGCCCTGTTTACCTTTACCTCCTAAAGATCCAACAGAACTTAGTTCTTTCCCAGTAGGGCGCCCCGCGCCTACTGGGAGTTGACGTTTTCCCCTGCGGTGCTCGCCTTTTGGCTAGGAGCAGGGTTTCGGCTTTGCCGATTTGAACGTTGCTTTCGCAACGGACAGCTAGGGCGGAGATGCCTAGTGCTTCCGCACATGTAACATCTACGGATGCTACCTTGCTGCTCAGCAGCTTGAAGCTCAGCTTCTTCAGCATGGCTGAGATCCATGGGTTCCGCCCTATTAGAGGTATTTGATTGATACCAGGGCAGACCATATCGAGCAGATTTAAAATTAAATTCAGCGTTAAACGCTACGCTTACTGCCTCCTCAAAAGTTGAAGGCTGGACACGGAAAACTTCCGTCCTGGCGACCCCAGTGCGAAGTCCTTCCATAAAAATGGTTACTCGGACTTCCTCTGCCAGTGGGTCCTGCTGCATAGCAGCAATGAGAGTTCTCAACTCTTGGACATAGTCCGACAATTCTTTCTTACCCTGTCGGGTAGCTAGGAAGCGTGAGCGCACACGATAAGCCTGATTAGGCGGTGCAAACACACAAGTTAATTGCTTTTTAAGCATTTCCCATGTGGGAAATGCAGCATTTACAGAGACATCGCTCGTTAGAGCCCACTCTCTAGCTCTTCCACCGAGCTTAGAAATGGCCAAGCCAACTCGTTGCTTATCGGATACAAGCATGGCGGCATCCATTGCCATTTCAACTTCTCGGATCCAGAGGAGAAGGTTCTCTCCCTCCTTCCCCTCGAAGGTCTTTACATTTAAAACAAGTGGACGAGCCTTTGGCTCTGCATCGGGCACAGGTACCGGAATGTACTGTGTAGGCGCAGCTGACGCTGCCTGGTCATGGACCTGCCCAAGTAGCGTTGCCTCATAATGCATAAAGGCCTCAAGGCGAGCATTAAGGACCTCCAGGCCTTGGGCCAAAAGGGCCTCGATTTGATCAGGCCCGACGAACGCAGATAGTTTATCTAAGGCGAGTCGTTGCGCCTCAGAGAGGTGATTTTGATTCTCCATTCTCACAGAGGGTCAGTCTTTAGAGACTCAGGTGTAGGATTGACTACTAGTGCTACCAAGTGTAGCGGAGCTGCACAGCTCTTGAGCCAGAGGAAGACTTTTAATCTGGAAGCCTCTTAGTTCTAGATAACTAAATAGAGTGAAGGCTAAAAGCCACTTAGTTCTGAGGAACTAATTAAACGACTTAAAGTCACCCTGTTCTAAGGAACTAGGAAAGAGACTTTTAGTCAATCAAGCAATATGCTTAAGGTTCAGAGAACCAACGCACAGAGTGCAAGAACAATCTAGAAGCTTAAGGGTTCAGAGAACCAACGCACGAAGTGCACAAGAGAGCAAGTCAGAACGACTTGCGATCTTAAACTCAAAAGAAGAACTGATTATATTTATGCTTTAAGATTTTATGAATAGTCCTACTCTAAGTACACTACACTAGATTAATTACTATTATAGTAATTATTATATGCAGACTTTGCTATTGGACGACGTATCGTCTAAACATCTGTGTATGATGTACTTAATACAGCGTTAGTGATTTATCGAATCCCAATCGATAAGATACGGTATTACCGAATACCGTATCTTTAACGCTCATACTTAATACCTCTCTAAAGAGAAGTATCAATAATGCATTATATGCAATAGCAAGGGGACTTCAACTGTAAACTCTCGGAAAGACGCTACAACCGTCGTGTAACCCCGTTACAGTGAGGCCTTGCAGCCTCAAACACTGTTGCCTAGCTTTGTAGCAGCGGATGGTGCAGAAGAACCGAGGAGCGGCAGATTTGCATTCGTAATTTGCATCTCGCAAGATGTTTTCTTGCAGCTATTGAATTTACAATTTTCCCATGGTGGCACGTTCCCGATGCTTGGGTCAGCGAGCTGCTGTTTCTTACCAACACGCCAGCCGAAACACGTATAATACGAGGCAAAGAACGTAATCGTCTACTTATTCTATGCTAAGTCTATTTTCGTAATTTGAAAGCATTTGATTCTTACGCCAAGCAATTCAGTGAACCAACCGTCAAAGACCCACTTGTGTAACAATAATATGAAGCTGTCGTAGACGTTCAGCCCGAAAATTGCAAGCTGGTTCCACTGATTGGTTGTCTCGCTGCCATGCGGCCTCTGGCGTGCGGGTGATAAGGCACGCAAGATACTGACTACTGCTGGTAAATATTGCATATTTTTACTAGGTACAATCTACTGAAGCAAGTAAATCGGGATATCCATTGTATAGCTTGACAGGGACATTCCCTGCTACACAATGGATGTCCCTGTCAAGTTGTAGTCTTCAATCGTCTGTAGTCAAAGAAAGACTCACTTTTTTGTCGGCTGTCTGACACCTTTCACCGCATGAAAAGATCACTTGGTTTCTATATACTTACTGCCTGATACTTCCCACAGATGTTCTATCTCAAAAAAGCCGCATTTAGCTACGAAACGTCGGGGGTGGACTTTAGAATTCAGTACGACAATATCAGGGGGTTGGGCAGTGTCTGAATCTCTGACGTATTCATTCTGCTATTCTTGTCACTTGTAAACGCTATTACGCGGCTCACGTGACACAATAAATTCGATTAGGCTCATCACATACTTGTAAAACACTCGTCAAATCTAGAGAGACCAAGTGACAAAAGAGTTTACTTGCAATGTACAAAGGAATGTCCACACCTCAGAGTGACAAAATGATGACATTGCGTCCTCGAATGTCCGACGTGGAGGTCAAAATGATATCTCATGGAAGTCGTCGATCTTCCATGTTTATCGATGGACAGGGCATATCACGAGAAGACGATCAGGAAGAGACTCAACGCATCCCCATGATCCCACTTATGGGTCAAGGATCAGCTAAACCAAGCTTTGTCTCAGGTCTCAGTATGGGTTCACACATGTCTTTTAATCAAGTGCGTGGTACATCTAACGCGGAACAATTGCGTAGACGTCTTCCTACTACCCTGTCTAGCAAGAAAAAGTCTTTCTACAGTGTCCACACCAATGTCGCCTTGCGAGGTGAGATGCCTCGTGTGCCTCGTCATTGGCTCAATGCACGCTTTCGACACAACACTTTCTTTGCTCGACGTTTGTTACACTCAGGACTACCCTTAGCTTGCGTCCTGGCTGCTGGATTGGGGTTCTACTATTTTTACAAACCTCACTGGATCATGCTAAACTCCACGTCTGCACCGGATCACTACGGTTTTCTACTCCACTCACCCAGATTAGTCTACACTTTTCGAGCTTCGAGCTGTGAAAACGTCGTGGGGTTCTCGGCATTAATTTACCACACTCTTCCGGCGGTGCTTTTGCTGTGTTTGCCAGGTTCGGGTTGGCGTTTGTTTGAACCTTTCAAGCGAGATGAACCTACAGCCACAGTCCTTGATGCTTCAGGAACGCAAACGGACAAGACGGATATTGAATGGGGAAATGGAGGAATGGACCTGGATGAAGTCAAAGGTGATGATATCAACCTTACCAAGATTAAGCGGCGGCTGGTGTTTCAGTTCTGCGAGTTGGTTGCGGTGCTGTTGCTACTTTTTCAAGCAGTCGTGTTGATGTTTTTCCTCTACATGTTCTTTAAAGGCGGTGTCTTTACATGCAATGTGCACGCAGTGCAGTTATTTGGACTTGTCAGTATTGTGTGCTTTGTATGGATTTTCACGGAACTCCAGTACTTTGCACGCTTTCGTGAACACATTAAAATGCTTCTGGGAGCATTTCAAGAAAGTGACCAGACAGGTGACGTTCGCAATCATGTCATGGATCCGGGTGTTGATCAGCTTATGAACCAGTCTGACAAAGCTTTAGCGGTTGTGCGAAAACGACTGTACAAGGCAACTCGTCAGGGTGATCTGCGTGAAATGCAAGACATCTTGGACTACGCGGAAGCGGCAGGTTTGACCAGCGATAAGCAAGGATTTCCACGCAAGAGCTATGCTGCAGCTTCTCTTTTCTTTGGTTTCTTCGCGCAGTCTCGAAAGAACCCGGTGCATGTAGCAGCTTACCATGGTAATATTCGCGCTTTGGAGCTGCTGGAGGCTCGGGGGTTTGACGTCACAGCAATGGATAAGTTTAACCGTGTACGGTTCTCAACTGGAGACCTCTTCTGGTACTTTGCTCGTTTCTTCGTGGCGCGCCCTGGAGTAGACGGAGGAGGCTGTGATGAAGAATCGGCTGCATCGATATTTCGGACAACACTAGTAACTCCGCTGCATTGTGCCGTGTCCACAGGTCAGTTAGAGACCGTACGATGGCTACTTTCGCGTGGAGTGTCACCTCGTACTCTAGCACAATCTTCGTACCGTTCGGATCGGGTACCACCGCTTTTCTTGGCAGAGCACCCTGATATTGTCCACGAACTGCTTGTACATGGTGCTGACCTTTTGGCTGTTCCAGATCCAGGATATATGAACACGTTGACGGCGTTGCAACTCGCTTACCTGCGAGGCAATTATGCCGTAGCACAAGAACTGGAAGAATGGGGTGGCGATGTGGCGCTCACTCCGTTTCACTCGGCTGCTGGTCGGAACGATGTAATGGCTGTGCGGAAGTTCTTGCGAAAAAAGACGGATGTAGATTGTCTAGGTGAAATGGGCTATATAGGGCTCAATCGACGAACTCCGTTGCACTGGGCAGCCATAAGTGGTGCGCTGGAGGTGGTGGATCTGCTTCTAGAAGCTGGTGCTGACCCGAATTTTCAGGATGCTCGTGGACGTTCACCGCTGCATTGGGCGGCACGACTTAACAAAACCGATGTGGTGCGCTCACTACTTGAAGGTGGTGCTGACCCTAAAATGGTAGACATTGACTTCATGACTCCGTTAATGTGTGCTGCGAGTCGTCTTGATGCGACGCGTGAGCTGTTTGGCATTCTTACGTCTGCAGGTGCCAATATTAATTATCAGCAGCCCACCACAGGTGACACAGCACTACATATTGCTGTGCGAGAGGATAACGAGCACTCGGCGCTCGCGATTTTGGCCAACGGTGGCAACCTTATGAAGATGAACATTGAGGGTTTACGGCCGTTAGACTGTACTACGTCAACGCGATTGCTATTTGAAATCAAGCGAGCTGCCGGACAGCGAGATGTGATGATTAGCTACACGCACTCGCACGCTGAATTTGCTAAGAAAATTCGCAAAGCTCTTGAAGACGCAAATGTGACGACATGGCTGGACTTGATGGATCCAAGTGGCATCGGCGGTGGGTCTGTCTGGCGTGAGGAGATTGCACGGGGAATTACGAATGCTGCTGTGGTGCTATGTCTTCTTACTGAGGATTACGCGCAGTCAGAATGGTGCTTGAAAGAATTGGCATTGGCGAAGCAAGTTGGCACTCCAATTTTGGCAGTGTCAAGTGAAGGTGTGAGCATTGGCGAGGATTTACAGGTGTATTTGTACACTCGGCAGCTGATTCCGTTCGAACCTGCCATCACCCAAACCAGACGTAATAGCACGAATGTACGGCAGATTGAGTATGACTACGACGAAGCTAAGTTCAAGACGCAGTTTCGGTTGCTGCTTGATGGAGTGCGTGATGAAATTGAAAAGAATCGCGACGCTGTTCAGCAGAAAAATATTGCGAGCAATCGTCGCGACAATGGACTCGAGCAGATTTCAAGTGGAACCATGTTAGCGACCTCGGGGGGTGGTTTTTCTCGACTCTTTGAGCGATGGGATCCCGAAGCGAGTGGCGCACAGAAGCAATTTGTCTTTATCTCGCATGGAGACAAGCACGCAGGTTTTGTGCAGCAGCTGTACTGTGAACTTACAGACGCTGGTGTCACGTGCTATGGTGACCGTAACGTGGAAGGTCAAGGCTTTGAGGACCGTATCCACGCTACTCGAGAAGCCATTCTACAATGTACTTGCTTCCTGGTCATTTTATCAAAGCAGACAATGGACAGCGAGTTGGTACGGGATCAATTGGCGTTTGCAGAGGACAAGGGGCGATCTATTTTTCCTATTGCATTGAATGATCTAGATCCTGGTCTCGACAAGCGCTACTCACTTGCTCGTAATGAGATATTCCACTTTATGGGCAACGGAATGAGCTTTAAACCCAGTGCTGATCGTCTGATTCAACGATTACGTCGTCACTATGTGCCTCGTGACGAGACTCTCGGGACGATCTTGAACAAGAGTACGCGAATTGCCAGTGCCAATACTTCCTTCGTCTCGTTTGGCTTTCGGGCGACAGATTTTGATGGGGAAACTACGGATGAGACGCTTATCAAGGAAGGAGCTGTACTACGTGAAAGTGACACTTTTTCTAGATTTAGCAGACATGATGCAAGCATAGAGATCGAGTCTAGCGCTGTCACGCGTAATTTCGAGTCGATTTCAGGCATTGATGATGTCCAATTGGACCTTTCTAGCACGCATGTTCGAATGTAAGTGACGTCGAATTACACGAAGAATGGACGAAGATATACTACAAGGTAGAATGTTACTTCAGCGTGCTGTGACGGTTCCAGTACGGTAGTTACGCGGTTAAGTATTGCCTTAAGTTCATATTTCATGTGTAACTTTATATTGTTTACTTTGTGTGGTATTGTAACGACATAGTATTGGAAATATTTGGCTAACTCATCGTCAAAAAACGCGCTTTTATTTTATCCTGTAATAAATAGTAGTATAATATTTACATTGCACATGCTGCTCTATAGTTCAAGTTGAAAAATGAGTTCGTTTGTATCGTCGTCATTGTCGTCGTCGTCGTCATCAAACTCTTGTTGTGCCCATGCAGTGAACAACGAGGAAGAGGATGTCGATGTGTCCGACAAGTCCAATGCGTCATCCTGTAGAAAACCACACGAGTATTTTTGCTCCGGGCTGTAGTACATGTTCTCCTTGCTCGCCTGATAGTACTCTCCTTCCTCGTCACTCTCATCGTCGCTCTCGTCATCCGAGGCGTCAGCCACGAGCTCGTCGAGGCCACGACGAATAGCCGTAAGGAAGTCCACGTGCTCATCTAGCTGGCTCTGCCCCATCTGATAGGCCACCGAATCGTGTGTCATCGCGTCGTCCCCGTCACATTCAGGACGCAGTCGCAGCGCGACGTCAATGTCAGTGCAGCTGCCGACAATGGCAATTGGGTCTGCGAGAACAGAGGGCTGAAGTTTTTGGGCCTGACGGAGGAAGGCGCCTGCAGGTTGTAGTGGAAGCACGTCGCACATTCGTTGGTCTTTGTGCCTTTTTTTTGTTGACTAGCGTAGTAAACAGCAATTTGGGAAATGAATTTTCACCTGCAAGTCGGTCGACCAGTGCCGCGTCTATTGAGTTGGCGGGATAAGGTGTATATTGTCGTACTTAGTGGAATACTCCGAATCTCAAACTTTGCACCGGAAAATAATGTGAAAATTAAGATTCAAATCAAATTCTTTCGTTAAGTATTGGTTTGTCGTATTTAATAGTGTTGACAGACCTGGTACTTGTGGCCAATGATACCCGCTATATTATATTGAAAAAAAAGCGGCAACTTGAACATGACGTCGCTTGCATATAAAGAGGTTGGATCGACTGCTTTTATCTATGAACCATGTTCAACCAGCTGTATCGTCTCAACGGGAATGGAAATCGCTGTGGCGTACCACGCGCTATAGCCACTGCGACAGCACGTGGCGGTAGGTATAGCCTGTATTGCCTACGCTTTTACTAAAAATTGCCCCGTAAAAACGCATTTCTGCTGGTCGTCGGATGATCTTCGTCATTGGATCCGAAACACACTAAAGCATCAGCAAATCCCTCACCTGCAAATGTGAAGTTTGTGCAACTTCAAGCGTGCTCAGTGAGCTTCAAGCTTGATGTTAAGAATCAACTTGTCGTTTTGGTTTGGGAATCAAATCGACCGAATGGGTAGTTTAGCTGCACGATGTCTTGATTATTATAGTCCATTAGATTTGTAATTCGCTAGTGACTTAGCTATCGATACTACGATCTGAAAGGTACTCAATATGTCACTTACACGCGCTGTACCAGCTTGCCGAGACTTCTTACTAATCTCTGGTTGGGCGTACTTTTTGATAAGTTTCGTGCAGTTTCGATCTACAAAACATGCCGGAACGAGTCCATCGCTTCGGAAAAATTCGATTATGGCGGCAGGTCGTGGTAGTACCTACGAATAGAAGGGCGGACCGCGAGCATAAGTTATCACGCTTGTAGCGTAGAAGAGTATTGAGAAAACATTCACTCGACGCTGCACGATGAGTCGCACGCATCAGTAAAACAAGATACTTATACGGACGCTGATAAGAAGGCTGCTGAATAACGAAAAAGCAGTCTCTAATAGAAAGGCGTAGCAGCACAAAATCCACACTAGATAGGAATGCCTTCTACACTGCGCGTGCTATGCTTAACGTCGTTAGTTGGTATGAGGGGGGCGCGTTGGCCTTTCTTAAATAAGTGGGCAGCCGGGAATGTTAGCAAGCAAGTAACTGAACATCGAGATGATACTTGACTTTTTTGTGGAAAAGGCAACATCCCACGTAGTGTGAGCTTGTAATTCACCTTACACAAATGAAGTGCTATAACAATGTATCGTATTGCTGGACGTGCAGTACGGAAGTCACATCACGTTTGCACTGGTCTCATATTCTGAACCATGTATAAATAAAGCCCCCAAATGTATACTCTTCGAAATCCAGATACGTTTCGTTCTCTCTATGGCTGGTGTAACGGTTGGCGATCGTGCCACACTACGTCATAAGTACTGTCTCGACAACAACGCTCTCTCCATCGTCTGCTCCGTTTTAGGCATTCATTCGCTAAAAGCGATAGTCAAACCATCTTTATGTGGCGGTCAAGGCTTGCTTCGGGTTCAAAATTTTTTTCCTATATGCTCTCATGTTTAGTCAAAGTCATACCATAATTGCATCGTGCAATATGTGAGGAATACTTATTCGTGAGCTGTCGACGGATAGTGCATCGGATGGCAAGATGACGCAATAGTTGATATGAATAGCATTCTTCTAGGCATGTATAATGCAGCTAGATCAAAGCTTTATGTGATGCACTCCCCAATTTGCGGCGCAGTGATCAAATCTGGTCACGTTGGAGTATAAAAGGAACGGTCTTCACTGGCTTACAAGAGAGAGCGTAATGAGGCCGCCTCACCTACCTCCTCCGGGAGGGGGGAATGAAAAGGCCGAGTCGACAACGACGACAGGGAACGGCCCAGCCAACGGACAGGACGTCATCGACGACATACTGGACGACAGCTCAAACCGAGGCGCAGTTCTGGCGGCAGTGGCTATTCGGAATGACAACGGCGCCAAGGGTGCCGTGGAACCTGGTGGATCCATCTTCTCCGGCCAGGCTGTATCTCCGGCATCGGAGGTTACGGGCCATGGTGACAGTGAATCTACCACGCCTCATCATCCGGTAGAGCCGAGCAGCAGACATGCGCAACAGAAACAGGCAGTGACAGTGAAGGGTCCACCCGATACAAGGGAGGCTTCATCGACAATAAGGGGGGCAGAGGATCCAAATGACAGAGCTGGAGGATCTGTTGCCGCAACCCAGCCAGCACAAACCGGCAAATCACCAGGAGCGCAGGCGCCAATTCCGCTACACGCAACGTCGGCGGAAATGTTTACGGCTCTAGTGGAAGACATGATCGACTCACCCAATGTGGGACAGGTCGACGCATGGTGCACGACAGTGCGACAGTTGTTTGCGGACATATACAAGACAGTCCCGTGTAAAGCGGAAGCACTGCCTACTGAAAGGAAACGCTTTCCTACCCTGAGCGTAGCGGAGACGGCAAGTCTGCTGGGCCTGTTTGAGCAAGTCTTTGTTAAGGGCAAGGGGAGCTTTGTGGAGTGGAAAATCATGGCAATGGCCATCACGCATGAATTATTGACTACAAAGTGGGCGTTTAAGGAGATTATCCGCCGTCTAGCCAGCAAGCATAAATGGGCTCATGCCCCCGTTCTGAACCAGTGGACTCAGGTAGTCCAACATGGAGAGTCATTACCACGTCGGCAACCGGAGCGCGCCAGTTCTCAGACCTTTGATGATTTCATGTTTAATCCCGAGAAGTTCACATGCGCAGAAATTGAACGATTCAAAGCGATGTGTGCAGCGCCCGCAGCCCCGGCAGGACATCATCAAGTACGGGCAGGTACTGATGATGAATGGGCGATAATCGTCGGGTTGGTTGAAGGCACGGTGGCATGTCGTCGTATGCCTGCCTTTATCAAACAAGTTCTTAAGAGTGAGGAACGGCTACGTCTGTACAGCACGATCCAGGCTCAAGTGGAAGGTGAACTAGTTTTACGGTTGGATAAATCCCGAGCGGTTAAAGCGAACAGGCAGACTACAAAAGCAATTACGGAGGCAATATTGGAGTCGGCGGAACTTGCACGGATCAATCTTCATGCGCTACATCGCATGTTAAGTCAAACGAAGACGATAAGCTACGACCAAGTCACGAAATCGATTCACTTTTATTTCTTTACTAGGGAGACGGCAGAACACCACAAAGAGGTGCGAGTACCGTATTACGGTAGCTCGTCAATGCCCACAGGCCAGAGAAGGGGTCGGTTTGGCTTCGGCAGAAAGGTCTCAATGGGACACCTACCGGGCGACGGGTGGAATACACGGTGCAGTTGCACAACCTTACCCGATTTAATGATATTGGGCGAATTGCGGCCTATTTAAAGGCAAAGATTCCAACGGAGTTTGACATGGAAGATATGGATACGCATACCCCGGATTCTCGGACGTCTACAATTTGGAGAGTCACCTTCAAACTGGCAGGATGCCCGACATTTTTAAATGGGGTGGTTCGGGTACTTTGGTTTGGCACAACCATCATCGTTAAACATCCAAACGTTGGCCACCGCATACAATGCCTGCAGTGCGGAAACCTGGGGCACACCCTAGCGCGATGTCGGTTCACCGACGATCAGTTGCAGGGACCTGGTGGTATTGTGGTGACCGAAGCGGATGTTCTTGATCTCGCCGACTTAGCCAAACCGTTTTCGAGTATAGCAGAAATTAAGGCTATGGCGGTTCAACGGCTGAAGCTCCAAAAGGAAGCGGAAGGGGCGGCCCAAGCAGCTGTAACACCGACTCGGGCCGTCGACGTCACTGAGACTTCTCCAGGGCACACTCTACCAGTGGTTCATGGGACGAGCAGCGCTCCTCAGGAAGAACAAGGAGCTAAGTATGTCCACCTGCAACCGGAACCATCCCCCCCCGCGCAGCAACCGTGGCTCACGAAGGCAGACAAAGGGGGCGATCACAATCACAGTGGGTAAAGAAAATGGTTGCAACTGCTGCCTCAGCATCAACGTCCGGAGTATATCAGGTGCTCATGGAGGACGACGACGAATCGGAAGGAAAAGTTGACACTAAGCGCAATAGCGTGGCGAAACCTTTGAAGTCACCTGTGGTCGATTTGACGACGGAATCTAATAAAGGACATGGCCACACCGAAAGGTCTCGTCTTTCATCCGACGACAAGCACCGAAAATCGGCAGCGACAATGCGCGGCCCAGCACCGGCTGCAACGGGACCCGTTATACTAACGCACAAGAAGAAAGAGAAAAAGACTTTTCAAAAGCTAGTCACCGGGGAGACGGTCACGAAATTTCCATCGCTGCCGATGGGCGCAAGATCGACAACTTCACCAGCAACATTGGCAGAGGTAGAAGTTCAGTTGGGAGTCCGTTCGGTCGTCACGCCGGCGACTGGAAATTGCATGGCTATGGCAATAGTACAGGCGGCAGCAGACGCAACTTTGGACGGACCAGGAAACACACTGGAGCTGCTAACTGCCAGCCTTAAACGAGGCATCAAATTTTCAGGGCTGTTAGATCTAGAAGGTCAACTCGCCCATGACCATCGAGTGCAGGCGCTTGCTAATGTTAAGCGAGGATGGACCTCCATGACGAGACAAGAGTCGGCCACACAAATGCGATGGTTCCTCGAGGATTTTGCTAACAGCTCTTCCAACAGAGCAGTGGAAGTAAGTGACGACACTTGGGGGGGAAGTGACACGGTCGGCATGGCAGCTAATTTTTTGCAACGGAAAATTTATATACTGCAGCAATCAGATGGCCCGAAACAGGGGTGGCAGTGCAAAAAATTTATACCAACCACGATCACACGCAATCGACGAGTTTTAGAGACAGCTGCGGAATATACACTGTCACTGATGGATTTAATAGAC